CCCCTAGCCCGCTTGTACAGGATGCGCCCCGGCAGCAATACTGAATATTGTATCTTGGCCCTATACTACCATGACCAGACCATCAAACCTTTTGTCTCTTTTCACATGATTAAATTTTCTGGGCTCCCGGTCTAATAGACATGCAGTAATTGTAAACCTAAGAGCTGTAACGCCTATGCGCTCTTATGTGGCGGTCCTTAGGGCCCCGAACCTAAGGGCCCCGAAGTAGCCCTACCCATGTAGTTTCCACGATCTAGCACCCTGACCAAAAGGACTTTGTTGATACCGGTACTTAACACCATAATGTGTTTCTGAAATCGAGATATATCATATTATATCTATATAAAGAATAGAATAGAATTATATTAACAATTTTAATTCTGTGAGTGCCATTTCCGGCCATCTAGGCGTGCCATAATACACTTTTTTTTTTATTTTTTATAAGAACCAGTAGAATTTTGCCTAGGCTCAGTGTTCTTATTTTTTTTTTGTCAATTTCAGGCTCAAAATGTTCTTATTTTGTTCTTATTTTACACACTTTTCAAACATAAAAAGTATTATTTTCCAGCAGTATACACTGATACTTGAATGTAGGTACTGTAAAAGTGGTCCTCGCAAAAGTCCCCAGGAAAAAAAACGGCCCCAGAAAAAGGCCCTGTTAAAAAAGTATTCCAAATGTACAGGTAGGTACACCTACTGTACTGTATATAGAGGGTATAACATACCCACACCTACTGCACATAAAGTACAGATATAATTTTTTTAGTATTTTTTTTTTTTTTAAATCAAAATCTCATTTGACACTTTAACTCAGCCTTAATTTGTTCTTATTTTGTTCTTAATTTTTAAGCAATTTCAGCCTCAGTGTTCTTATAAAATGTGTTATAAAAAAAAAACTGTAATGATTTTCTTATCTCAGCCCCACCAGGGCAACACCATAGTGTCTCTCTAAAATCGACTGTAGGACATATATCATATTATATCCAGTGGCGGAATAAAGAAGGAGAACCTGTCGACCTGATTCCCCACTAAATTTGTCAAAATATTTTTTTAAACGAGATAAAAAGAAAATTATATTCACAATTTTATATCTGTGAGTGTCATTTCCGGCCATCTAAAAGTGCCATAATCATAAATGTTCTTACCTCACACCGAACTGTCAAAGTATTAGGCCTATTTCAAATACCTGCATCCGCCACTGATATTATATCATTTATTCGTCGTTAAAAACATTTAGAATAACAATGCAAACATGATTAAATAACGAGCACATCTAAAAGCCCACGATGAAAGTGGCGACCGGGGCCAAAGGGCGACCGGGGCCAAAGGGCCCCCAGTATCAGAAAGCCACAGGGCCCCCGGCCCCATCGTTACGCCACTGCGGGTGGTAAATAAAAAGTCAACCTTTTAGACAGAGGCACTAATTAGAAAATAAGTTGATAAAAATGAGGGCGTTAAAGCAATGTGAGATAAGAATAATCACACCATCTGAAGATCAGACTTAATGGGGCTATTTTATATTATACAATATCATTTGAATTATCAGTTTAAATTATCATCTATAATGCTTAGTAATTACTGAGAAGTATTTATTGTACAGTATTTATTTTGTATTGTAATGTAAATACAAGGACCATGATTAAAATGTGGGTAGGCGTATGACACAAGTAGGCTACTGCGTTGTAGTTATTGAATATTCCTGTGGTATTATATTCATTTACATTTAATACTTATATTACATTTTTTAAAGTCAGCAACGTCACCGCGGAATGCAACGACAGACTCACATAACCTACTCAACGAATTACTTTTGTTGCAATGAATGGGCTGAGGATGGACTAGGAGGCTGTCCTATTCGTGAGTATTAAAGCTTATACGGTACTTTTTGCTTCAGCACCTCCACTTTGTTCAAACGTGAAAAAGGTAATAGTAAATTAATGGAATTAATTTCCTAATTTACTTAGACATAAAGAGCATCCTATAGGTCTTCGTGGTTGAATGGTTAAGACACTCGCCTTGATAGAAAAAGGTTGCAGTTTCGAATCCCACCGAGACATTTTTTCTTACAACTAGAATAAGCAACTGAAGAGCTATGCTTGTTGCGATTTTAACATTTTGTTCCAATCCGAGCATTGTTATTATTATTTAACCTTTCTTTTACGGTGCTAAGAAGCAAACTTAATTTAATTAGGCCTATTATTATACTATATTTTCCAAGCTGCGACCCGCAAGCTTTTCTAGCATGTCGTCAGGTACATTGAATTAATGGTGCGACTCAAGGCGTTACACTACATACTCGCAC